TCAGTAACAATGTACTGCCTTTTGACTTCAAATACTTTCACGGACTGTGAATTTTCAATTAAATAATTGGTCAACGCACCGGCTGTCGGTGAAAGGTGCGTTTTTTTTGTATAGTTCCCGGCAGCTTTTGTCGCTACCGGCATCGGTTTTTCCGGCAAATGCTTCTAGCTAAAAGAATTGAGAGTGACCGCCAGGACTGTGAGGAAGCATCCGTTTAAAATTTCTTTTTTTTTTAGCTTTCTAGTTTTTCTGGTTCTCGAGTTAGTGGCTTACCCGCAAAAAAATTCCACGGGCCCGTACGTGGGTAACATAAGGGTAAGACAGCCAAATTTGGGATTGGGGGCCCGTTCATGTATGTAGATTAAACTCCCAAAGTTCCAATCCTGTAGCTTTCGTAGGTTTCGAAATGAAAAATCGGTACAGATGAACACACAGAAACATATAGACAACCCCTCGTCAATATGCGTTTTCCGCATTGTATAGATGCAAAAAACGCATAAAAACTGAACCATATTTTTTAAATTAAAGTCCGTACAAGAGACACAAAGAGAACAATGTTTGAGTGGTTATGGCCATGGATTCTTAAAAAGAAGCCAAAAATGTGTGAATACTTATTTTAAGTACTTCACATCCAAGCTAGCAATAGCCATACGAGGCCGAACACAAGCAATGTTTCAAAGTCGCGTTTAAAAAGTTTAACCACTCTGTGAATTCCTTGAAAACAGCTCACGAAGCTACCAGCAGATATAAGCCTTCTTAGCTCGTATAGAAGGATGCAAAAAGCTTCGCCTGCAATCCGCGAAACTCGTTTTAGTCTACGAACTTTTTTCCAGGTGTGTTGCAGGTTCGTAAAGATCAATGTGGGTCAGTAAAGATCAAAGTTAATCCAGCCAAGAAGACAATTCGCCATTTGCGACACTTCAAACACGGCGCAATGAAAAATAGTTCTAACTTCAACCTCAGTGCTGTTAAGGCGCCTTTATGGTGCTAAAGCATATGTGATTTAATAAATCAGAAGTTTTTGCTCCCAAATTATAACTCTTATTGGTCGATGATCTAACACCTTCCTTAAAATCTATGCTTAGATGCATCTACATACATCAGTTATGCGTATATATACAAATAATATTTTTGTATGCATGATCTTACTTAGTATTTTCAAAAGTGCATAAACATTTTTTTTTTTTGAACATGTGCACATAGCAAAAATACCAAGACCGCTCAAAATATCACTGCGCCTGTTAGCGATTTTATTAGGATGTTCCCGCACGCGAGTGCAGCTTTACCAGGACCTTCAGTCTTATACACATGTGAAGCATTTTCTTGTATTTTTGCATGTCCCTAAAATCCCAGCCTTCCAACTTTTCTCGTTCTCAAGTTAGCAGTTTCCTGCCAAAATTTCCACTCTTCTGTATTTGAGATCCGGACAGTCCTAAAGAGCATAAAAATTTATCTTAATCTCCCTCCTCTATCTTCTCCCCAAATCCTGCCTTCAAAATATTTGAGCTCTTTACCACCCTCACCACAAAGCACTGTGAAAGAAAGCAATATTTCAGTCCTTTCCCTACTCCGGGTATAAGCGGCAAAAAAACTCAGTAGCTAAGATATGTAATATACTGATTCTCGAAGCAAATGCGCAGCTATGTGTTGCATTAGTTGTAAATGTCAGCTTCAGTGACCCGACAAATAGAAGGCTGCTCATGTGAGAAAAAGGCCCCACAATAAGGAATAAATCTGAAATCTTTTAATCGCATATGTCTAAGGGGCATTCCCTCAAAATTTCAGCTTTCCTCGTTCCCGAGCTAGCAATTTTCCCGCCGAAATTCCCACGTGTCCGTGCATAAATCCCAGGTGTTTCTAACAAACTGAGTATGAAATCTTTTG